TAAAGTGTTTTTCAGTTTGAATTGTTTAAAGAGAACATGGTATTACCAAAATCTGTTGTTGTTTTGAAAAGGAGGGGAAAACACCTACAATTTTTTCAGAGGCCCAAATTGAGACAATGTAAAATTTGGTGCAGTTGCTGATAATGTAGAAGATTTTTATTAATCAAAATATGAGTTAATCAAGATCATTGTGAATATAGCCATTTATGTATCAAGGTATTTTACTATTATGTGTATTTGCCTGTGTGTACAGAACCCTGCATGAGAATGGAATGTGCTTACATGTAGTGAAGTTGAGAATGGAATGAGCAGACAAACGGTTTATGGTAAAACTGCACATCCTGTTTTGACACGAGACAAAAAATATATGATGGGGCCTTCCTTTAAAGTAACATTGGGGCCTCCTGTCTGCTTGCAGGAAACAGATTGGAGACATAGCCAAAAAAAGGCAAACAATGACAGGATGTAGGAAATATATGGAACACGCCTTAAAGGAAAGAAAACTGTATAAAAGAGTGTCCAGACACAGACTCGGGAGATTGCTCTGCAGAGTTCTCTCGGTTTTATTGTCTTGGATAATACAATCTCTTCTGGCATCAAAACCCCAAAACTTTGAGAATGATTCCTCACAACAGCGGCAGAATCCACCACAATATTTATATGGTCAAAAAGTAAGTTGACAATCTGGTAGCTTGTAATTTAATGCCAGTGAGATCTTTACCTGATGGACTTTGATTTACAGCATTCATCCTGTAGTAAATCATTGAGCTGCTTCACTCCTGATGGTCCAGGATCATTTCCTGTGAGATCCAGCTCTATCAGGTGTGAAGGGTTTGATCTCAGAGCTGAAGCCAGAGCTAGATAACCTTCTTCAGTGATACTGCAGTCTGAAAGTCTGTATATAAAAGAAGCTGTTAAGTACTGCATGTTCTACTCTAAATAAAACAAAGAACACAAAGTTCACATCAATATTAAAATAGTATATGATATATATTAATAAATGATATAGTTACAGAACTGAAAAGAAGTTAGAAAAAGTATTGCCATAGAGTGTGCAAAATGTATGCTAATTTAATGGTATTTTAAAACTAGCAAAATTGTCTCATAGACTCCATAAATACATGCATTGACCAATGCTTTAATGATAACATTTGACTAAATGAACCATTTGCCCAACATTGAATTGTCATTATTCATTCATCCTCATGCTGTTTCCAAAATTTGACTTTCTTCAGTCAAACACAAAATAAGACATAAAAAGAAGTAACAGCAGAAGAATCCGTGTATCATTCGTTCATTTGTTTTTTGATTTAATATTGAAAGTAGAAAAATGAGAAAACCGCTCCTTTTTCATTTTTTCATTTTTTTCTGAAAAACGAAAAACGAGAATTCAGCTTAAATGTTCGTTTTTCCTTCATGGGTGGAAAAATTAATAAACAGCTTGAATATTCGATTTCTACATGTGGGCGGGAATTAAACGACCCTTTCTGCTGATTGGTCAGCCAAAGATCAAACCGTGCCTTCTTCAGTTCTTCTGCAGTATCATGCAGCAGAATAATAGTCCTCCACTGCTGCAGTTGTACGGATTAATAACCCATTTTATCAATTTCATATTTTTCTCATCAAACAGACTAATGAATAGCTCGACACAACTCGTACCGGGGCAGAGTCTAGACAGGTCTTTCTTCTGTGTAGACCAGCGGTTCTTAAAGTAATAGTAGTGATAAGGGGTCCGAGAAATAATTTGCTATAGCCTAAAGTATTTTTTTTATCATGATAAATAGGCCTACTGTGATTTATTCCAAAGTGACTTATATGATGCATTTAATGTAAAATAATCTAAATGAAGCCTTTTAAAAGACAAGTATTCCCTGTGGTTCATGTTTGTGGCATGCGCCAGAAAGATGCTCAAGGAGACCGAGACGCGCTAAAGCAGTGCATTCTGTTGTTCTCTTTATATTCTGTTGTTCTCTATTTTCAAAGGCATGACATTTTGTAGTTATTTTGAACGTAACGTTACACAATTAAAAATATACATTTGATTTTACCATAGGACTATAAATGACAGAGTATTACGTTATTTCCCCTCGATGGGGAAAAAAATCCAAGTGAACATCAATCAGTACTCAATATTAATTTAAACTGCTTTAAATATGACTGCTGCTTATTTCCTGTGCACTTCAATACTGGTCTGCGCTTGACTGTAGTCGCGTCTGTCTGCTTATTGAGTTTATTTAACCCATCGCAATTTATTGGAACTGTGTGAACTAGAGTGACTACTCACCTTAATGTTGTTCTAAAGGCTTATTACTTAATAACACAAAAATGTCCTGCTCGCACTTGCCAATTTAATGCCAGAGAATGGTGACTTTAGTTTTTTTCTTTTTTGAAGCGGATGCATATTTGTCGTAAAAGAATCCTATGCATCTGGTGGCGTATATTCCAAGCATTCTGAAGGTATACTGAGGGTTTGGTGAGAAACAAACTGAAATGGCAAGTTACTATATTTTATGAAAAGCTTGCGTTGCAGTGTGAGTGCTCATAGTGAACATAGGCCTATATATACCCAAGCCAATTTATTATTCTTTCCTTTTTGCCTTAGTGTTTAAAATATTTATTTTGAAACGAATTAATGAATGAATTAATGAATTTCTTAAACAAACAAACAGACTTACTGGGTGAGCAGGGTAGGCTATGACAGCTGTCATATCATACCCTGCCATGCCCAGCTGATGCAAAGAATAGAATTTATATCTACACAGAAGAAAGCCCTGTCTAGACTCTTCCCCGGTATGAGTTGTGTCGAGCTATTCATTAGCCTGTTTGTTTGATGAAAAAAGATTAAATGTAGTTGCAATAAATGTGTTAAGAATCCATACAACTGCAGCAGTGGAGGACTATTATTCTGCTACGTGATACTGCAGAAGAACTGATGAAGGCACGGGTAAATCTTCGGCTGACCAATCAGCAGAAAGGGGTGTTTAATTCCTGCCCATGTGTAGAAATTGAATATTCAAGCTGTTTATTCATTCTTCCACCCATGAACGAAAAACGAACATTTAAGCTGAATTTTCCTTTTTTGTTTTTTGGAAAAAAACTAAAAAAGCGAAAAAGGAGCCGTTTTCTAATTTTTCTACTTTCAATATTACATCAAAAAACGAATGATCGAATAATACACGGATTCAGAAAGCCTCCAGTTTTATTATTATTATTTTTTTCAAATAAACATGATAAATGTAAATTCACATGTAAAAAAGTGGATAAATGAAAATACCCACTTCAGTTTTTCCAATTTGCACTGTGTGTTTTCCAACAGATGGCAGATCTTCTCATTTCCTGAGTCTCCTAGTTTATTTCCACTCAGATCCAGCTCTATCAGGTTTGAAGGGTTTGAATGTAAAGCTTCAGTCAGAACACGACAATCTTCTGGTGTGATACTGCTGTTATTCAAACTGTGTTAAGAGAATACACAGTTACAGTTTCAAATAAATATTTACCAAGAGTTAGTTATTAGTTAAAAGCCATCACTCTCTGGTAAACGATACATTAAACACATCCAGCAGCAAGTTCACAAGTATTAAAAGTTGTCATATTAATAAAACTCACGTCAGTGTGTTGAGTTTACAGTGTTTATCCTGCAGTACCAGAGCAAGTTTCTTCAATCCTGAGTGTCCTAGATCACGTTCACTCAGATTCAGCTCTCTCAGGAGTAACGGGTTTTTACCCACAATTCCAGTCACATACTGACAGGCTTCATCTGCAGCAGGACCCAAAAACCTGCAGAAGAGAAGAAGCAGGATTCAATTCAACTAAACTTGGTGTAATAAAAATAGCATCTGATGCTGATGGGAAACAGTGAGAAATGGTTTATCTTGAATTTACTTTGATGCAAAAACTGTATTATTGAAATAACATTTATATTAATAATTCAACTGCATATCATTCATTTTGTATTATTTCATCACGTCTCACCTCAGTGTCTTCAGCTGACAGTTTGGATCCTGTAGTAAATCATTGAGCTGCTTCACTCCTGATTGTCCAGGATCATTTCCTGTGAGATCCAGCTCTATCAGGTGTGAAGGGTTTGATCTCAGAGCTGAAGCCAGAGCTTTATAACCTTCTTCAGTGATACTGCAGTCTGAAAGTCTAGAGAAAAGAGATTTTAAATAAAATGCATTTGACAATTCATAATTGTATGAAAAACATTATTTATTTTCTATGGTGATTATTTTTATCATTTTACTACAGTCATTTTTCCTGGTAACTTTTGTTTTAATTTCTATTACTTTTACCATATTAACTGCCAGATTCAAATGTGCTTTCCTGCTATGGCTGGCGCTGAGCCAGAGATGGACGCGCTCAGCCCTTGTCATATAATCACAACTATGCAGTGTTTTCAACCACATACTGTACATAATGTTTGTTTTAGGTTTTAGACATTTAAATACAAATGTACTAGCAAAACAATACATTTATAGTTTGTAAAATACACACCGATGTCTATAACAGCGGCAATATCAGATACACATTGTGTAAATAACTATAAAGTTCACTCTGTTCTTCTCCAACCTCACCAGCCATTACTTTCATGTATTTTGGGAGAAATGGATGAATTTACGTGTTGTAAATCCGAGAGATACAATTCTCTGAACTGCGGCACAAACTAACATGCCGATCAACTAACAAGATCATTATGAAGGTTTGTAAATTTAAAAAAAATACGTTCACTACTAGAATATCAGATAGTTGATGACATAGTTAACAAGTGTGTGAATATTTTGAACAAAAGAGGCTAAATGAAATAAAAACAATACATCTGTGATAGGCTTCAACGCTATTGTGGCTGTGGTGTGTCATGTGACACACGTAATGTGTTGCCATGGAAATAAAAGGATACTTTCTAAAATAATGGTCACCTTAAAAAGAAAAAAAAATTCACACTGGGGGGTCAGCTAGAATATATATTACATCTACGTGTGAAGGGGTTAATGGCAAAAGTCTCATAACACTACATTCAGCACAAACTGTGTAACACGTATGTACACTATTTCTAAGAAAATCAGGTTTTAATATTGAGAGTAAAAATAAATCCCCCCCCCTGTATTTTACATAAGCACAACATTTTGTTTTTTATTGAGTGGACACAAATACAAGTAGACATTTACAGTTTCAAATGATGTCGTCTTTTTATCTGTATGACCATTAATGTGTGTATGACTTGCAAGTTGTTGCTACTGATATAAGATAACAACACATGTGACTGTGCCAGGGCCTCTGTGCTCTTGAGAGGGTTAACTTTAAACAAACAAAAGTTATTATTAAAATTAAATGTTCATTCATTTAACTCACCTGAGTTTCTGCAGTGTGCAGTTTGTATTTTCTAATCCGTTCTGGAGTTTCTTCACTCCTGAATCCAGCAGATTATTGTCGCTCATGTCAAGATCTTTCAGACTGGAGTTTGATCTCAGGACTGTAGCGAGAGCTGAACAACTTTCCTCTGTTAGACCACACTTACGCAGACTAAAATGATGAAAATGAGTGGGAGAATTTAGGAACACAAGGTGCTTGTTTTCACTATTAAGTGATTCCTGAGAACTGTGTTTAGGTCACCTGATTTCTTTAACATAGATTAATTGTGCAATAAAAACCACATTAAAAATACTCACATCAGTGTGTTGAGTTTACAGTGTTTATCCTGCAGCAGAGCAGTGATCTGATTCACTTGTGTGTCTCCTAGTTCATGTTCACTCAGATTCAGTTCTCTAAGGAGTAATGGGTTTTTACCCACAATTCCAGTCACATACTGACAGGCTTCATCTGCAGCAGGACTCAAAAACCTGCAGAAGAGAAGATGAAATAGGATATAATTTAATTCCCAAATAAACGTTGATGGACAGAAGTGTAAATTAGTTTATCTTGAATTTACTTTGATGCAGCAGGTTTGTATTAGTGAAATATTTCTATAAATAATTCACCTGTATTTAATTTGTTTTGTATTACTTCATCATCTCTCACCTCAGTGTCTTCAGTTGACAGTCTGGATCCTGTAGTAAATCACTGAGCTGCTTCACTCCTGATTGTCCAGGATCATTTCCTGTGAGATCCAGCTCTATCAGGTGTGAAGGGTTTGATCTCAGAGCTGAAGCCAGAGCTGTATAACCTTCTTCAGTGATACTACAGTCTGAAAGTCTAGAACAAGAATGAAAATTCAACTGATTAATCAGCTATAGTAGAATTTACCTTAACAATATTAATCCCTAAAGTGACCTTCTATAATGAATGGGTAAACAAAAGGCTCAGAGACCTTTAAAATGTCAACTCACCTGAGAATCTCCTGTGATCTTAAAGTCACTCACAATAGCTATGCTTCCATCCAAATTTATGAATTAAACTTATGCGCAAAATTGGAATATCACATTAAACATTTGCGAATAAAGCACCGTTTCCATCCAGTGAGTTGAAGAGAACAAAATCGCTACTTCCTGATTAACTTTCGCTAAATACCCCATAGAAAATTTACATTTGCTGCAGTAGAAGTCACTGTATATAAAAATTTTTGTATACAATAAATTACGAGCTTCAGAGTATGCAGACTAAAACTAAAACTATGAAACTATTTAACGAATTGAATGAACATTTTGTAAAGAATATGTAAAATTAAATCACAATCTTTAAGTTTGGTTTGTCAGCCTTTTGTCTGTTGTCATACAACTTACCTCAGTATCTCCAATTCACACGTTATATTCCTCAGTCCATTGCAGAGCAGCTTCACTCCTGAATCCTGCAGATTATTATTGTTCATGTTCAGTTCTTTCAGATTGCTATCTGATCCAAGAATTGTAGCCAGAGCTGAACAGCTTCTGTCTGTTAAGTCACAATCATTCAGGCTACAAAGAAAATATATCACATTAGATTGAATACCAACAGTATAATACAGCACAGCGTATGAGCTAAGTACAAATATTAAATGTATTTTCAAACTATTACTCTTACTTGAACAGTAAAAAATATTGTGAGGATGGCTACATTGGCATTGTACCTACAACATCATTAGTATTTTTGATTAAGTGATACATTTGCTACATCAAACAAGCAGGAATACCATTTTAAGGTTTATAGCTTTACTGACAATGAGCTACACATTTGAAAGCACTCCACTGTCTTTAGTGTCTTGAGGTGGAGAATATGGAGGTTAATGATTAGAACACTGAGAAGTTCTTGATAGACTTAGACTTAAAATAGGAAGTTTAAGATAACTTCATATTGGAGCGAAAATAACTATGGAACAAAGTGTTTTATAAAAAAAATGTTATACTGTTTTTCTGCTGCTGTTATCTAAAAAGCTGCTAAATAAATTTAATTAAATGACTTACAGAGCTCTTTTGGAGGTTTTGATGACTGATAATAATCTAACAAGACACTCGTCTGACTTCTTGAATTTCTGAAGCTCAAACTCCTCCAGCTCCTCCTCTGATGTCAACAACACAAAGG